GGAGAATCAAGATAGTCTTCCAATTCAGATTTTTCCATAGCATCCTCAACATCTTTCTCATAGAACTCATCGTAGATTTTTGTCATTTGTTTATTCTTAACCACTCCAGCAAAATTTTGGCCATCATCATCTTTCCAATGGGAAGAACTACAAGAATCATTCTTTGCTTTTGTTGAAACATTATCATAATGATTATACAACCTTTTCAAAACATCATACACATCATTATATATGTCTTCAACTTTCTTCTCGTCCAAAGGAAAGATCTTCTTTAAAGAAAACTTGACAAACCTCATCTTGTACCTTGGATCAAGAGCAACCGCAACTAAAACCATGACATTTGTTTTGCCAAAGTCTCAATAATATTTGTCAAACTTTTTTCTCATTTGATCCCCTATACTAACAATATTAGGATCCATATCTTGTTTCCACTCCAACAAAGAAGCTAATACACCCAAGATCTCATGATAATGCATATTGGCTGTGACATACAAAGTGCCAGACATCCTTTTTGTGGCATCAAAAAATTGTTTAAAACAAAGTGATAAAGCTGTAGCATTATCCCAATCTTTTTGAGAGGGAAACTTGTCTTTAAGATCTTTCTCAATTTGGGGATCTTCTTGTTTCATTCTTTTAAACGCTTTCTCAAACTTAAGAGCCGTATCTAACATAATGTAAGTGGAGTTCCACCGTGTTGGTACATCAAGAGATACTGACCCTTTACATGAAACTTTTGATTTTAAAACACAATCATCAAACAATTTAGATCTTTCCGAAGAACTCCTCACATATACAATAACACCCCGAATAGAATTAATGGAATTCTTAACCATATCCAAACCATCTTTAACAATTAGGTTTAAGATATGGGCGGCACATCTCATATAAAAAAACTCACCCCCTAAAACAAGTTTGTCTATAAGGTGTTCTTTTAAATAAGCAACAACAACATCGTTTGAGCTTGCATTATCTATGATGATACAAGATAACTTATCTTCTAAACCCCAGTTTAGAATACAAGACCCTACTACTTTTCCAATTTCTTTCCCTTTATGACTATCCATTACTCGAAAATTCAGAATTCTTTTATGTAATTTCCAATTGTCATCAATAAAATGCGCAGTCAAACACAAATAGTTTAGATTTTGTACTGAAGTCCAACAATCGGTAGTGAGAGCAATCCTAGATGTCACACCTTTGAATGTATTTCTCAAATTCTCCATTTCACTTAAAAAAAGTTTACCAATATCTCTAGCAACCGTGAAACATGATGGCAAACAAAATTGTGGAACAACGACACTACAAAATATCTAAATCCATCACGTTCCACGTAAGAAAATGGTTCCTCGTCAATGACAATCATTTTAGCTAAAGCTTGCCTAATGGAATTTTGATTAAATTCCCAATTTGAAACAGTGGTAGCATCACTTTGACTTGTTTTAAAAATACTAATTTTTTTTTTGTTTTTTATCTATGTTTTCAGGGTTATTTGGACATGTAAGAAGATGTTTAGCCATAGATGATGTACCATTCCTTGTAGCAACCTTCTAGAGCAGAATTTGCATTGGCTTTACAATTTTGTTAGTCTTTGGATCTCGAATATCAACATATTTATGCCAAACATTTGTTGTTCTTTTGTCCCCAACTGATTGAGTGTTTTGTTGCTCAACATCACTTTCACGATCCAAATCTATGGGCTGTTGTTGTTCCATTATTGGCTAGCCTAAAATTTCAAAGAAATAGTGAGTAATCAGATAACGTGTTCAAAGAAATAGTAAGTAATCAGTAAGTAATCAGAAAACAAATTAATCACTGTGTAGTTCGTAAGCCTATTCTATAATTTTTTAACAACAATCAATTTTTATTAAGAATCTAGAGAGGGGACAGCCTATTTCTCCAAAAGAGCAAGTTAGACTTTGACAGGAACAAGTTCACACCCTTGAGTGGGTACGCAACCTTGCTCGTAATACGTGTCAATTGTCATCAGTGAGTAAATGAAAGGATCTCACAGCGAAAGGAATCGGTAATCAGCATAGAGAATCATAATCAGTAAAAGAATCATTAATGACCTATGGAGCCAGAGAAGTCGTTGCAGCCTCGCAGGTATGTCGGATTCAAAGAAACGAGTCGTCGGCGTGCACTATGGACACTGAATTGAACACGTCGTCGATTGAAGTGTGCGATTGAAGTAAGAACAAGTTAAGCCGGAGCGATTATGCGAGAACGATATGCGATTGAAGTAGGCTGCAACGAGAATGCGAGAACGAGACACTCAAATTTTGTGTGTGTTTGTGAATTGTGTTTTGTGAATGTTGGCGGCCAAGACATACAGCGAGCGACCACTAATGACCAAAGTCATAAAACACTAGCCGAGTGTCTTTTAGTAATTTAACTTTTGCATATAATTTTTATTTTTGGAAAAAATATATTAAATAATACTAGTAAAAAACTATTAAAAGACCGGGTATCCGCCGGTTCCGGTTCCGGGTACCCAGTATTAAAACCAAAACCGCCGGTTACCCAGCGGATATCGGTTCCAAGATAATGAGAACCGGAACCGCTTAAGGCGGTTCTTAGATTTTAGGATCCGGAACCGGAACCGGCAGTTCTGTGGCGGTTCCGGTTCCGAAAACGGGTACCCTCTTCCGATGCTCACCCCTAGTTATAAGAAGCTAATAAATGATCATACATTATTTTTTAAGTTGTCTAAACAATAAACCAAATACCAAGTGATGTTTAACGGAATATCAGGAGTATAAGATCACAAAGCAATTGATTCCTTCTCGTTCAAAATTGCTATAAAAAAATAAAAAAAAATAAAAAAAAAAAAAAAAAAGTTATGTGATTTAGCATCCTACTTGCATCGAGTTTTTTTACATCTTACTTTAATTTAATATATTCATGTGTTGTAATTTGATAAATTTATGTGGCAATATGTTAGTACAAAGATTAAAAAATCACTTTATATATTATGCAAATAACATAACACCTTTTATTGATTTAGTTGACTGGGATCCAAAAGCTGGAATCATCATTCAACGAATCCGAGTTAGCAAACTATACAATTAATACAAACTTTAATATTAGTTGGTATATTAAATTAAAGTTTTACGAAAGTAATGAAAACTATATATAGAAGTTTTAGGTATAAAAAAACATAAATGGTGACAAGTCATATAAAACTACATATATGGTTGCACAATCTTGTAGTTAGAGATACAGGTAACTGGACAAAAATAAATACAACATTATTTTGCTCCAATTTCCCACCAAATTGTTTAACACCAAATATTTCAAGTTCATGCATCTCACATTTGAACATTCATAAATTATCGCCTCTTCAGATTCACCCGAAGCATCCACTTGACGTATTTCTATTCGTTAAATATATGTTTTCCGGTAACTTTCTTAACACAAATGGTACAAGAAATATATAACCAACGCATAGATCATCAAATCCTCGTAACAATAACATATATTTACATGTAGTACATATTAACTGTGTTAAACAATTTGGTGGGAAATTGGAGCAAAATAATGTTGTATTATTTAGTATAAGAGTAAAACACACAAATAAATTTAGCAAATAGCTTTATTTTTATTTCTTTAAGCTAAATGTAACGTACCCCTAATGGTTCCAATATATCAACAATATTCTTTACGTCGTAATGAATTAGAAAATCATCATGCTCAATTCGACTTAATCAACTATATTGTGAGAGTATATAAAGAATTTTCTTGTTATCTTTGAGCAACCAAATTGTTTATTTAAAATGAATTTAAATAAATAAATAATAACTAACAAAAAACTTTATTAACAATTTTGGTAACTTGTTTCAAAATTAAATGATTTCTTTAATTTCACTATCACTAAATACGAAATAGGAGTCACTATCACAACGTAGCATATAGATAGTTTGTCGCTATCAACAACTATGTCTAAATCGTAGTATTAGCATCATTTTTTAATTCATTATGTAAAGAATGTGGATGACATATTAAAAACCATTATTGGTATGTTACACAATATTCTTTTGAAAAAAATTATAGTTATTTGTTAAATATATTTGTGGCTTACTATTATACTAATGTTAATATATAATACCAACTATGCTAAGAAAGTTACCAAGAACATGCATTTAACAATCAAATGGATAGTTTGAGTAATTCTGAAAAGGCAATAATTTATGAATGTTTAAATGTGAGATGTACAAACTTGAAAATAACTGGTGTTCCAAAGTTATTAACGTTTTAATTTTAATTTTAACAATCAAGAAGTTTTTTGCCTCTTGAAAGATCTATTAGTTTTTCTTTTAACATAATTAAAGAGGTATACATTTTTTAATAAGATGATTTTTTTTAATTGTCTTTTTCTTTTTCCAGTTTGGTTAAATCCACATTATTTCCTTTTAAGTTATAAATTGTTTGGCAGGAAACGTAATGGTTTTATAGTAATGTCTTAAAATGATTTTATTAAAATTTTCAAAACATATTATTAAATAAAAAGTTTCATATCATAAAACAAAATATATTAAAATTATAAACTATATTAAAACAAAGTATTCAATCGTGAACAAAATAGGTCCCTAACAAAAAAAAAAAAAAACAGGTAATGTATGCAATGTGAAATATCTACAATCATACACTTCAACTTGGCATAGTTCTTGTCTCAAAATCTGAACGAAATGAAAGACATGACAATGTTGGGTTGGAAAAAAATACTCCATTGTATTTCCTTTAAACAAAGAAACTTCATTATTTCGATAATCCCACCATTTATTTGCATCGACATTGTCTAATATTCATTGTAACCCATCGGTTTTAAATGAGAACCTAAATAGCCAACAAACGATTTCCAGTTTGAAAAAAAAATCCAATTTCTCTCACATTTTATAAAAGGTCAAAACATCATTACATATTCTTTTGAATACGCATAAAATTGCAAAATCAACTAGTTTGACAATAAAATGTAAACCACACCTCACTTATGACTGTTTCATCCAAAACGGAATAAACATAACACGAAGCTCCATCCATTCCCATATAGTGGAGTCAAATAATTGTAGCTGATATTTATCATAGTCCACCTAATCATTTATCAATTCACTATAAAAAACATAAAAGTCATAAAACCAACTAAGAAAACATAGATAATTATAATACAGATACAGACTTACAATGACTCTGCATATGATAATCGAAAGATCTTGAAATGTAACGGTTTCGAACCCATAACTATCATAACACACTTTATTGTAATGTAATAGACAATTGGATTAGGTAATGATTTGGCATCAATACTTGGTTTACAAACAAATAAGAACTTTTATTGATATTCATTTCGATTATCGCATTCACTAAGAGCGAGCCTGTGCAAAGAAGATCATTAAAGACATTTGATATTTTACGTTATACAAGTAAATATGTTGAAAAACTAACGTACAACACCCATGTACTTGATCTTTACAAACGGAAAAACAATGTCGTTTTTTGTGTTATTGTTCAACAAAAAAAACATTGAGAACTATAGAGCGTAGATTCTACCGTCATGTGGTACGAAGATTTTTGACTTTGATTTTCTACCAAAGTCATCGCATCTTCCTTGCACGAACTCATTGGTAAAATGTGATAATCAAAATGAATATCCAGAAAAGTTACTATTTGTTTGTAAACCAACTATTGATGTCAAATCATTACCTAATTTAACTGTCTAATACGTGACAATAAAGTTTGCTATGGTAATTATGTGTTTGAACCCGTTACATTTCAAGATCATTCGATTATCATACACAAAGTCATTGTAAGTTTGTATATGTATTGCAATTACCTATGT